GGGGTCTCCCACCCTTACCTCTTCTTTTTTGTTGTACTTCATGGAAAAATTGTGGCCACAGAAATGTATTTGTTGTAGCCTACTAGCTTAAACTTGTGTAGTATGCTAACACTTTCCCATGTCACTTCACTTGTGGAGGGGCTGAAGTTGTAAACAGTTGACCGGAGGGTTTTGTGTTTACACCTGGGGTCAAAGCAAACGGAGATCACCTCCAAAGATATTGAGGTCTGGGTCTCCACTTCATAACACAACACACGCAACGCTAGAAACCACCGGATACACTCCCCTAACATTTCCCAGAATGCATTTCCGTAACTCCTTTAAAGAAAGAGATTTCCTGCAGCCGATGGGATGATCACGTTGCTCTTTGTCTGCTGAAAGTCTAAAAAGGTAACTGTTTGTCAGCATATTAGCTACAAACTTCACGTTGTAGGGTTCCTCTGCCCCCTAGTGGAGAAAAAAGAACAAGTGCAGCTTTAATGTTAAAAAATGTGTTCACAGGGAAACAAGAGATGTGGGGCCGTCGGGTCCTGGCAGCAGCTTTCGGTATGTGCACAAAGCTGCTATGTTAACTTCATACTCATATGATCCCCCGTTTGAAAGCTAAAATCCTCGTGATTCGACCAATGCAAACATTTCAAGATACAGTCACCACAGCGGGTCCAATCAGCGCCTCAGACTAGCCAGTACAAGCAAAATTGACACGACTCACCTATGAAGCCTCATGATAATCCACAGATCGATTATATTCCAACAAAAACGGTCTTGTTATGTTGTCAAAGGTCCAGACGATCCAATCCAGTAAAAACATTTAGTCCAAAACACATTATTCCTTCAGTAAATCCCCAGGGACTGCTGCCACATCGTCTCAGATTTGCCGGCTGATGCAGTATGTCATTATAACCGTAATAACTCCGATATTTTGTGGGTAGGCCGAGCCAATTGCAACCAATTGTGCCGATGACTGGCACTTGGCCTGTGTAGCCAATAAAATTCTGAAAATAACAATATCCAGCTTTAAGTAGGACGTTCATGATCTACCAGCTGATACGGAGCGATGTGGCAAGTAGCAGTGCTGTTTTAGAGAAAATCCACTAAGACATACACTTAGGGATTGGTATGAAATTTAAACTAGGACTAGGTAAGGCTTTCTGCCGTGGCCTTACAGTGATTTCCAGCTAATAAGTCCCAGCTGTAGCTGTCTGCAGGCATTTGTTAGCAAACATTTTCATTTTCAGTGTTTTAGTGTATTTAAACTTATTTTAATCAATTCCAGTAGCTCTTACAGTCATTCTGACACTCCGGAGTGCTGTCGTTCAGAGAAGCCCAAAACCAGGCAGATACTCCAAATGGTTCAAGATCTCTGCGATGGACTGGCGACCTGTCCAGGGTGTACCCCGCCTTTCTCCCGATGTCAGCTGGGATTGGCTCCAGCCCCCCCGCAACCCTGTACGCAGGATAAGCGGTGGACGATGGATGGATGGATGGTTCAAGAACTACATTCAATTTACTTTGAATATGCCTTGAATAGGCGTTTTGCATGCATTTTATGGGAATGGTAAGTGTTTATTCAGTTAAAAGACGAAGGTAACTTGCAGGTTACTGGATGCAGGCAAAGAAAGAACAGGCTGGTTAACGTGACAAACAGAAAGTCAATACATTTGTTTTTCACAACATCTTCAGCATTCAGTTGCAGATTGATGTTTTCTACCTGCTCTGCTGTTTGATTCTCCCCAAAGTGATGAAATCTGGGAGTTTTACTGTCAGCAGTTTGGAAATATCAGATGCAGCCTGCCAGGTTACCACCACTGATGTTATAAATTAACTACTGCAGGCAGGACATCAACAATAAAACAAACAGAAAGGAGTGTGACGGCTCTATAAAATCTCTCCTGACTGTCTCAGTGTGCTGCAACTGGAAGACAAAGACGAGATTACAACCCAACATGTGGTCCATCAGGATGCTGGTCTCTGCTCTGGCTCTGACTCTGCTGGCTGTCTCTGTGGGGTCCTGGTCTGATGGCAGTAAGTCCTGCAGGATGTTTCAGAGTTGCTTTAAACCTACTGCAGTGTTTCTGTGTGAAAGTAAAGTTTAGATTAACACCACTGATATCTGTTGCTCTCACAGATCTGTCAGGCGCCGAGCTGACGAGGCTCTACAACTCTCCAGTTTATTTAGCTGAGAGGATGAAACGACCACTGGGATCCAGCTCTTTTCAAATTGGACCAATCAGCCACTCTGGAGTCAGGTGAGTCCACACACACCACGCTGACATGACACACTGTAAAACTTCCCTGAACTCACCCTGCCTCTATTTGGGACAGACCTTTAAATCCTTTACCTGGTAAATCTGAATGAATAACACTTTGGATTGTGGAGAATCTAACCGATCTAACGATGTGTATCATGTCCATACCGACTAAAGATTAAACATTCATATTGGTATGCACGGTCTAAGCAGCTTAGCTGAAGCAGGTGACCTGGTGGGCTTTAAGAGGTTTTATACATCCAGAGAACTTCTATAAAAATCTGACCAGGCTTCTAATTGAGACCTGCGTTTATTTGTCAAAACATGGAGCCACACGAGGCCAGTAAACGGGACAGGCGTCTAATTGGAACTCAGCTTTTAATTGAAGATTTACAGTACTTTATATGCATATTATTAGTCATCCAAAATACTTCAAGCTGTTGTTTTATTCCCAGAGTGACGCTGGGCGACGGCTCTAAGTGGCTCATCCATAAAGGACAAAACTACGGCATCTCGTCTCAGACGGTGGTGACCAAGGCTAACCAAATGAGCTCAGACTGGAGAGTAAGTCTTTGTGTTTGTCCAAACATAGATTAGTGTCATTACAGAACAGGTGGTCAGAGGGTCAAACTCTTCTGCTCTGTGTCTTTTCTCTTTGGAGGTTGTTAGAACGGGGAATTTCCAGGGGAGGAAGACTGTCGGTGACTTTGTGGCGACCGGCGGCTCCAACTACGATTTCCTCTTCGATAACTGTCACTGGGCATCGATTCGAATGATGAACCAGTAAACATAAACATGCAGTTTGCTTCCTCTCTGCTGAACAGATAATAAAGGTGAAACCTCAGACAAGGTGTCATGTGCTTTTTATTCCACTCTGTTAAAGGGAAAGTCGGTTCATCACATGTGTTGGCTCTGCAGCATTTACAGCTGTTTGTTATTTAACTCTTTCATCTGCTGGAAGTTTTTTATTTTTGTTTCTTTCTCTGTTTTCACAAACACAATTTCTAGTTTGTTATTAAGGATCTTATTATGAAGTAGACAAGACAATAAGACAAGGTGCAGTGAAAGCCACATCACTTTATGTTCACCTGTTATAATCTCCTTAAATACTTACGTAAGACCTCATCCACCCTTGTTAAAAACATACACTCTGCATAATAATGAATGTAAAGTTTGCACATAGCAATATATTTTCCTATCTATTCATAGTGTTGAAAAACATTTTTTAAAATGCACAGTTAATGCACTAAACAAGGCTTCATCATTGTAACAGCTGAATCAAAGCATGAACGCTCGCTGGATGACTGAACAGGGGTGAGACGCATCAGGTAATCACAGGGAAGATGTAGACAGGAAATAAAGTGAGATAAGGACACCAGAGACAGATGCTTTCAAAATAAAACAGGAAACAACTCAAAAACCCAAAACCACAGCAACAAAACTTCCAAAATCAACCCAAATCGCCGCACAGGTCGATGCAGCAGCTTATTATGACCTATATTTAGGGTTTTTATCACGTTTTTGTCCTCTAGTGACGGAAGAAGTCAGGTGACGTAGTATAAAGAGCAACAAAGTCTATATAAGGAGGTGGTGGGGTGGATGAGTCAAGTGAACTCAGGACTTTCACTCAGGAGGCCGATGTTCGAGTTTGGTGTGGAAGAAAGTCGAAGGTGACTGTATGTATTTAAGTTAAATAATTGTTTTGTAGATACCTTCTTAGCTGTTTGAGTGAACAGGTGGCAGTATGAGTGCATTCCAGGTTTGTGTCTTTGTTAACTGTTTATATGCCACCAAGAGTCCAGGTGTATTTAATGCTGCTTTTCTCATGTCTGTGTGGAGCCCTCCAGTGGAATAAAAAGCACATGACACCTTGTCTGAGGTTTCACCTTTATTATCTGTTCAGCAGAGAGGAAGCAAACTGCATGTTTATGTTTACTGGTTCATCATTCGAATCGATGCCCAGTGACAGTTATCGAAGAGGAAATCGTAGTTGGAGCCGCCGGTCGCCACAAAGTCACCGACAGTCTTCCTCCCCTGGAAATTCCCCGTTTTAACAACCTCCAAAGAGAAAAGACACAGAGCAGAAGAGTTTGACCCTCTGACCACCTGTTCTGTAATGACACTAATCTATGTTTGTACAAACACAAAGACTTACCCTCCAGTCTGAGCTCATTTGGTTAGCCTTGGTCACCACCGTCTGAGAGGAGATGCCGTAGTTTTGTCCTTTATGGACGAGCCACTTAGAGCCGTCGCCCAGCGTCACTCTGGGAATAAAACAGCAGCTTAAAGATGCTTTAAGTGTTTTCTCTTAATTTTTGGTTGACTAATAAAATGCATATAAAGTAAGTGATGTCAGCGTGGTGTGTGTGGACTCACCTGACTCCAGAGTGGCTGAATGGTCCAATTGCAGAAGAGCTGGATCCCTTTGGTCGTTTCATCCTCTCAGCTAAATAAACTGGAGAGTTGTAGAGCCGCGTCAGCTCGGCGCCTGACAGATCTGTGAGAGCAACAGATATCAGTCACATTAACCTAAAGTGCAGAAACACTGGAGGCGTTTTAAACAAAGTCCAAAACATCCTGCAGGACTTACTGCCATCAGACCAGGACCCCACAGAGACAGCCAGCAGAGTCAGAGCCAGAGCAGAGACCAGCATCCTGATGGACCACATGTTGGGTTGTAATCTGGTCTTTGTCTTCCAGTCGCAGCTTTTATAGAGTTCGGACACTTTCTGTTTGTTTTATTGTTGACGTCATGCCTGCAGTAGTTAATTTATAACATCAGTGGTGGTAACCTGGCAGGCTGCATCTGATATTTCCAAACTGCTGACAGTAAAAACCTCAGATGACTTTGGGGAGAATCAAACAGCAGAGCAGGTAGAAAAAACATCTGAATATGTTGGGCCCTAAGAGACATCTTACACTGGGGCCCCTCCAAACCAAAACCACAAACATCGGGAAAATGACTTACTAGTAGGGCTGGGCGAAATGGCCAAAAACGTTATCACGATAAAAACATCTCGTATCACTCAATCGATAATTATCATGATAAATATCAAATTATTATTTCTTTCAAGTTTAAAGGCTAATTAATTTAATATAATTTGAAGGGCCAGACAGTTAATTGTGAGGTTAAACTATAATTTATGGTCAGAATGTGACAAACGCTAGAAGCCAAACAGTGGATCACTTCAAGGTAGAACATTCAAAATAATTATGATAAAATCCTTTTTCAACAATATGATCAGTGACTCTTCTTTCAGTACCTTTTTCTCAACAAAATGAACATCTTAATAGAAAAATTAAGTGCTAATTCTATTGAATTAAATCAAATATTTATTGACGATAAACATTTGTTATATTGTTGTTGAGGAAAATTATATTGCAATAATTATCCTTATTGTTTTATTGCCCAGCCCTAATTACTAGCTATCCTAATATGAAAACAATAACAAATGAATATAAACAAGGAACTTTAATTGCACAAATATTAATGAAATAAAATAACACACATGCTTTTCAGAGTAAATAACTTTATTGTGATTATTCTAATGAAATATAAAAACAATAAATAACTTAACAGGAACATGTTCAAGAATATTAACAAACCAACAAGTGTGTCGATTAGAGAAAATGACAGAATTAATCTGAACTGAAATAAATTGAAATGATTAAAATGGAAACTTTTAAACAAATAACAAGTAAATAATAAGATCAAATGCTTTATATTATGTTTTTATGTCATCACTGCAGCAGAGACGAGCTTTCCCATCAGAAAGTAAAGGTCCGAAAACAACAAAAAAACACCACGCAGGGGGCCCCCGAGGGCCCATTGCAGTAGCTTATAATGCATACATGCCACACTGTGCAATATTTCTGACTGAGTCTTTAAGTGAAAAATACTTAAGGATGCGAACATTTACATCAGCCAAGACAGCCCAACAACGTCCAGAGCCTTCAGCATCCGGCGCCTTCCCCGTCAGGAACCACCTCAGACACCCAGAGATACAGGTCTGGCTTCTTTACGGTCTTCGAACTCTGCCTCCTCCGCAGGGGACACTTTGGTCGGGTCCAGGAGATCCCCAGTCACTCAACATATCCCCGGCAGTTCTCCCCTGCTGAGTCGAGTCCTGCTTTATCTTCCTGAGTCCACTAATGGTTTAAAGAATCACCACTTTATCGTGGCTGCCGGGTTTGTGCTTCCCTATGGCTCTGGGAGCTGTGTTGTCCAGAGCTATAACTCCTCATAGAGTCTCCCAAGTTAAACTGGTCCCAGGAGATGAGCCAGACTAAGAGCGACTCACAGACCACGTTAATCTGCTGAGACGGACCTGCAGCACTTCAGCCAGAATAAAGAAACCGGGGCCCCCTTATGCAGCTAAGACTAAGATAAAAGCAAATCTGAAAAAGTATTCAGGACCGAGACCATTAAGTGGTTAAAAAACTAATAAAAAGATCTTCAAATCAATTTTGAATCAGTCAGGTAGCTAATGCAGAGACTTTAAAATTGGTGTAAGGTGTGCTCTCTTTCTGGTCCTAGTCAGCACACGTGCAGCTGTGTTTTGAAGCGGCCGCAGTTGAAACGTATTCTTTTTTGGGAGACCAGAAAGAAGAGCATTACAGTAATCAACCCTAGAGGTAAAAGTGTCTCTGTACTGGCATGGGAGAGAAATAGTCACACTCTGGCAATGTTCTTAAGATGATAAAAACACTCTTAGTAATGTTTTTAATGTAGAGTCAAATATGAATCCCAAGTTTTTCACCTTATCAAAGGGTTTTAATGTCAGTGCTCGCAGTTTCACGTGGAGTTTCTGTGTCTAATTCACAATTAGTTCCTTAATATCAAACCAGACATTTTGTTTGTGAAAACAGAGAAAGAAACAAAAATAAAAAACTTCCAGCAGATGAAAGAGTTAAATAACAAACAGCTGTAAATGCTGCAGAGCCAACACATGTGATGAACCGACTTTCCCTTTAACAGAGTGTGGAGCCCTCCAGTGGAATAAAAAGCACAAGACACCTTGTCTGAGGTTTCACCTTTATTATCTGTTCAGCAGAGAGGAAGCAAACTGCAGCTTCGATCTTTCAGAGAGCAGAACAGTTCATGTTTACTGGTTCATCATCCGTTTAGATGCCGTGTGACAGTTATTTAAGAGCAAATTGTAGGTGGAGCCGCCGGTCGCCACAAAGTCACCGACAGTCTTGCTCCCCTCGAAATCCCTCAGTCCCCGAGAGCTGGTGTCCGGCTGAGAAAAGACACAGAGCAGAAGAGTTTGACCCTCTGACCACCTGTTCTGTAATGACACTAATCTATGTTTGGACAAACACAAAGATTTACCCTCCAGGCTGAGCTCATTTGGTCAGCACTGGTCACCACCGTCTGAGAGGAGATGCCGTAGTTTTGTCCTTTATGGACGAGCCACTTAGAGCCGTCGTCCAGCGTCACTCTGGGAATAAAACAGCAGCTTGAAGTGTTTTGGTTGACTAATAATATGCATATAAAATATGTAATGTCAGTACAGAGTGTCAGTGGACTGACCTGACTCCAGAGTGGCTGATTAGTCCGCTTCCAGAAGAACTAGATGAAGATGAGGAAAGACTGGACCCCATTGGTCGTGTCATCCTCTCAGCTAAATGAACTGGAGAGTTGAAGAGCCTCGTCAGCTCGGAGCCTGACAGATCTGTGAGAGCCGCAGATATCAGTGGTGTTAATCTAAACAGGAGTCACACAGAAACACTGCAGTAGGTTTAAAGTAACTCTGAAACATCCTGCAGGACTTACTGCCATCAGACCAGGACCCCACAGAGACAGCCAGCAGAGTCAGAGCCAGAGCAGAGACCAGCATCCTGATGGACCACATGTTGGGTTGTAATCTGGTCTTTGTCTTCCAGTCGCAGCACACTGAGACAGTCAGGACAGATTTTATAGAGCCGTCACACTCCTTTCTGTTTCTGCTCCTTTCGGACGCACTTTTTATTTATTTACGTCCTGCCTGCAGTAGTTAATTTATAACATCAGTGGTGGTAACCTGGCAGGCTGCATCTGATATTTCCAAACTGCTGACAGTAAAAACCTCAGATGACTTTGGGGAGAATCAAACAGCAGAGCAGGTAGAAAAAACATCTGAACATGTTGGGCCCTAACAGACATCTTACACTGGGGCCCCTCCAAACCAAAACCACAAACATCAGGCTACAACCTCAGGGCCCCCAGACAGTTTTATATCCCTGAATGAAAATGACTTACTAGATATCACAATATGAAAACAAAATTTAAAAAAAAAAATTTAAATCTTTAAGAAACTTAAATTGCACAAATATAATAAAATAAAAAATACAAATCTTTTTCAGTGTAAAACACTCACATGATTATTCTAAAGAGATATAAAAACAATAAGTAACTTAACAGGAACATGTTCCAGAATATTAACAAATCATTATTTTCACTATTAATGTAAAAGAGAAAAGGAAAAATTTATATAAACTGAATTTGATTGAAATGATTAAAACATAAACTTTTAAACAAATAATAAGTAAATAAGAAGTGCTTTATATGATGTTTTTAATCCCATCACACCATGCACGGGGCCCCTGGTGGTTATGGGGCCCATTGCAGTAACTTATAATGAATATAGGGAACAATGGCCCTGAACATGATGTCAGCATGCAAACATTTATATCAACCAAGATGCCCGTCAGGAACCACCTCAGACACCCAGAGATACAGGTCTGGCTTCTTTACAGTCTTCGAACTCTGCCTCCTCCGCAGGGGACACTTTGGTCGGGTCCAGGAGATCCCCAGTCACTCAACATATCCCTGGCAGTTCTCCCCTGCTGAGTCGAGTCCTGCTTTACCTTCCGGAGTCGACTACTGGTTTAAAGAATCACCATTTTATCGTGGCTGCCACGGCCTGTGTTGTCCAGAGCTATATCTTCTCGTTGGGCCTCCTCCCAAGGCAAACTGGTCCCAGGGGAGGAGCCAGACTAAAAGCGACTCACAGACCATGTTAATCTGCTGAGACGGACCTGCGGCACTTCAGCCAGAATAAAGAAACCGGGGCCCCCTCATGGAGCCAGACTTGCCGTTGAGTGTCGGACACATCGCCAAAAACATACATGGAGCCACAGCCCTGTGGGCCCCCCACCTGCAGGGAGAGGCATTGGGATCGGGTTTATTGACAGCAGGGCGGAAGGTGAAGGCAGGGACCCGGGGGTGCTGACCCCTGGCATCACTTCTCTGGCTGGGCAGGAACCAGAGCTGGAGTGGGAGGTCTACTGGTGCCATGTAGTTATAACTGGGCCCTATGCATGACACTGGGTCTGGAACCATAAACCCCGGAGAAGGGCTGGACTCCTTTCCTGGAGTTGCCCAGGGGTGAGAGACGCGCTGCTGTCTTCTCCCCAGGGGACATGAAGGTCGCCTCTGTGCGACTCCGAGTCGCTGAGAGGTCGGCTCTGACTGTGTACCAAACTGCAGGTCGGACTTTCCGGCCTTCTGGGACTCTCTGGGTGGGGTCCTGGAAAAGGGACTCAATGCTGGAGAAACCTGGAGGAGGGTAATTTAGAAATGTACTTGGTACCAGAACATCTGAGTGGACCTTGTGGTCGTTTCTGCGCCCGTGCGCATGAAGAGGTTTGTTCTATCATCAGTCCAAACTCTGTCTGACCAGTTTACAGGGTTAAACTGCAGCCTGAAGACGGTCGAAGCTCGTGTTTGTCTGGACTTTGTAATTCTAGAAATTCCCTGTTTTGATTTGCTTCAAGAGCAAACAGACATCACAGAGCAGCTTCTCCTCACATGGCGTGCACAATATTCCAGGGATCATTGGTCACATGATTAAACAGGAATCATTCAAGGACATTTAGTACATTAAAAACATTTTAATGTAATGTCTGTCTTCATATCTTTCTTACAAATCAAGTCATATTAAATGTATATATATAAAAATGAATACAGGACCCAAATCCTCAGAACAGACGTTCACAAGTGAAAGTCTCAGTGGCCGCCTGATTGGTTCAGCAGTACTGTGGCTCCAGTTGCGTGGCGTACAGGAAGCTGTCGCCGTGTTCAGCAGCAGGTGGCGGTGAAACGAAGGCCCCCTCGCTACCGAACAGACTGGAGCTGCTGGCGCTGACGCCACCGATGGCGGGCAGGTAGGAGTGATGGAGGATCGGCAGCTGCACGGACAGACGCCGCCGCACACTGAGAGAAACCACAGGAAGGAAATCACAAACAAGAAACCCAAACAACTCCCACCACGAGCAAACAATACAGCCACCACAGCGGCAAGGGAAATAAAAATAATAATGTTTGCATATACAAACTAATGCATGTGAACATACAAGTAGTTTAACAAATACAGATGGTGCCTTTAAAATCCTTTATTCCCTGACAAATAAAACTATTTCCAAATGTAAATAGAACCAGCTGGATGAAAACACACTTGGTGCCTGTGCGGTGACACTTTGGGCAAATCATGTCAATACTTTAACTCTGGGTTTGTTTGTTTTGGACTCACTGTTCAGGAGAGTTGATGGCGTCTGGACTAGAAGGTTTCCTCTCTGAGTTCCTGACATCTGCACAGACCTGGACTACATGAGTCCGCGTCACAGATCTGACACCATCATCTGGGAGACGACACAGCAGCAGGAGGAAAAGGTTGACAGTGAGTAGAGACTTCGTAGTCTCCATCATGAGGGACACAGTTAAACACAGTTAACTGTTAATTAGTTATTAATGTGCAAAAATCTACAGATCTGTAAACAGAGTAAACTGAAGCAGCTTGTGTCAGATCATCTAATTCTGTAGGTTCCTCCACATGGATGGTTTACAGTACAGCAGGATTAACCCATTCTGTACTAATCCTTGCAGACGTGTTGTCTGTAGGTGTATTATTGAGCTCAGACAAACAGAGATCCTGGTCATCGGGTCCCAGCACATGAAAACGCACATTCTGCCCTGTGCTGGTTCCCTACTGGATCACACCAGGCCTGTTGGAGGACTCTGAGGCCCCATCCACACTATTCCGTTTTAGTTTAAAAAATGGAGAATTAAAACGAATATGATCTCCGCCCACAGCAGCGTTTTAGCTGCGCATCAGAGTTGATCTCCGTCTACATTAAAACGACTGAAAACACACAGTTCAGGTGCACTGGGCATGCGCATGCCGGTGTAAACATGAAGCAGATGGTCTGTTTCGTAGTTACAGAAGATTTGGCGAAAGAATAAAGAGATACAGACGAAGAATCAGACCAGTTTTTTGTTGCGTGGACCAATAACGAGCTGGGACTGTTACTGAATGTAACACGGGACTGTGGCGGGGGCGACATGCACGGTACAAGTGTAGGCAGATAGGCCTACGTGTTATTTGCACGTACAGAATATTTTTATTAAAAACTGGTCTGCGTCATCGTTGCTAAAGTCCTCCGTTTTTGTCTGCACTAAAACACTCGGTGTCGGCAGCGTTTTCAAACATCTCCGTTTCAGGTCTTCGTTTTCGCCGTTTTAGTCTGGACGGGAGGAGCAAACGTAGCAAAAGGTCTCCGTTTTAATTTGAAATCCCAGCAGAGTGGAGGGGGCCTTGGCGTCTGTCTGGTTTGACAGTAGTTTAAGTTTTGAGCAGCACACCACAAAAAGCTTGTGCAATCATGTTTTTACGATCTTAAAAATATACAGAAAATGTTTTAGATCATTACTTTTAAGGCTCTTCACGGCATCTCTCCCTGCTCTATCTCTGACCTTTTAGACCCAGCATGTACTCTGAGGTCCTCGGGCAGAGGTCTGCTGTCTGTTCCAGGGGCCCGGCGGGAAACTAAAGGGGACAGTTTGCAGTCAGGAACCCGAGGATCTGGAGCAGCCTGCCCGTGGGGATCAGGTCAGCTGTCTCTTCTTAAAACGGACTTAAAGGAGAGCCTTTCCTAATTTTAGTTGACTTTATTTTTCTTTTCTTTTAACTCTATTTTAATTCCTTTTAGAGCTGCAATGATTAATCAAATAATCAATTAGCTGTCAACTATTTTGAAAATCGATTAATTGGTTTGAGTCTTTGTTTTTTAAGAAAAATGATCTGAATCCAGCTTCTTAGATGTGAATATTTTCTGGGATTTTTTCATCCTCTGTGAACATACTTGGGTTGTGAACAAATCAAGACATTTGAGGACGTTATCTTGAAACCGTGATCGACATTTTTCACCATTTTCAGACAATTTAGAGACTAAACAGCAAATCGATTAATCAAGCAAACGATCGACAGATTAATTGTTAAATAATTGTTAGATGCAGCCCTAATTCCTTAAAAATGTTATCTGGTTTTAATTTGTTTTATTTGTGTTTTATTTCCTAGTGGAAGCACTTCGTAACATAGATTTTGAAAAGTGCTCTGTAAATAAAATATAATGACAATTATTATTAGTTTGTTTTAGGCTAGCAGTTTCCTCCCTTCGTCCACTGTGCTAAGTTAGGATAAACACGGACGTTGATTAAAGTTCAAAGACTTCTATGATGTTAGTCTTGGTTAGATGTGACTAATGAGAACCGGGTCAGTGTCGGGTGTATGTATGAGATCTTGTTTTTGTTACCGGCTCTCAGCTTCTGGTCAGGTTCAGGTGACCCCGGCGTTTCAGAGAGTTGCATGGTGATGGTTTCTATTTGTACATCGAGCTGCGAGGAACACAACAAACAGCACAGCAGTGTTAATCAACTGCAGCATCACTCAACATCAGGTGATGTTTGTGTGTCCTCACCTGTGCAGTCTGACTCTTCAGCTGCTGGTTTAACCTCCTCAGCTGCTCTTCAGCTTCTCCCTCAGCAGCTTCATCCTGCAGCTCGCTGCCGTTCAGCCACATATACAAAAACTGCAAAGAAATAAAACCACAGGCAACATACAGAATTTTCATGCGAATTTTAAGCGTACTTTTGAAATGTCGCAAAAAGAAAAGAAATTGCGAAATCTGTGCGTTTCCTTCAGCTGGTTTGGAGCAAATAAACCGGGCTACGGCGAGCGTAGATACGTCAGTAGTTGACGTTACACATGGCGGTAATAAACAAGACGTCGAGAAACAAAACCAGTGGCATGAACCTGAGGGCACTGATCTTAGAAAAACAGAGAGAGGTCCTCAGAAATGTGTCTTTTATGCGGGAAAGTTGTCTCGTTATGGTGTTATGCAGAGTTTTGCATGCACCTCCAAATAACGCTTTTAAACGCTATAATGTCCTTTGTGGGGAGATAAATGGTGATAAATGATTCGAAGTATATATTTTATGAATCCAGTATTTCTTATTTATTTCTTTGCAGTTTTGAAGGGGGCACTTACAGCCTGTGGATACCCTAAATGGACCTTTGTGAAAACAGCCACAAGATCCAAGAAGAACAAAACTACAGGGGAGGAAAAGAAGGTCAAACGCAACAACATTGTGATTCCCTACGTGTCTGGAGTATCAGAGAAACTCAGGAGGATTTTCAACAAACACAACATCCCTGTGTTTTTTAAACCCAAGAACACACTAAGACAGATGCTGGTCCACCCCAAAGACCGCACACCCAAACACAAGAAAAGCAATCTGGTGTATGCGGTCCAATGCAGTGAGGAATGCACAGACCTGTATATTGGGGAGACTAAACAACCACGACACAAACGCATGGCTCAACACAGAAGGGCCAACTCCTCAGGTCAAGACTCTGCAGTCTACTTACATCTGAAGGACAGAGGACACTCGTTTGAGGACCACCAGGTGCACATTTTAGACAGAGAAGATGGATGGTTTGAAAGAGGTGTCAAGGAAGCATCTACACCAGGGTGGAGAAGCCGTCATTGAACAGGGGAGGGGGTCTACGCCACCACTTATCCCCCACTTACAATGCTGTCCTTTCATCACTTCCCAGGAAACTCAACAAACGTAACCTATTGGCCTCAGGTGAAGATACCAACGATGGTCGTTCAGTCTTGGCCACAGGTAGTCTTAACGACTGTAACGACTGTCGTCACAGCGACCAGGAACACTAACGAACCAGCGGTATCGATGACCCGGGCCAACGACCCCACTGAGGTTAAATAGCTGAGTTTCCCTGCCAGTCAGTCAGAACTGAAGAAGTCCTTTGGATGAGGGACGAAACGTCTTCCAGTATCTTCAACCAAGTCCAGTTGCCCTTGATTTTAACCTTCGTTGGATAACTATGACCTGGATGACTGAGAATCTTCATAGACATATTTTATGAACGTTTAGAGTCGTTAATTAAGGATTTGTTTTCGAATTTTGCCGTTTCCATCAACCTTTTCTAATGCGATGCTTCAAAATGCGGCTACTGTCATGGAGGATTGTTCCTGAAATCTGAGAGGGCAGACTTTGACTTAAGAGGTACGTCTATAATGTTATGGTCTTACATTTGAGAATCCAAAACGACGGTAAAAGAATTAAAGCAGCGGGAGCAGAGAGCGTCACACTGACCTTTGGTCCAAACAGCCAGCTCAGGATGAAGATGTTACAGCAGAGGATGAGGACGCTGGTCAGAAAGAACTGAACAGGAGGATTATGGGATATCAGAAGTGATCCTGACACTCCTGACACACTGAACACCGTCACAGCAAACATACTCAGTGTCAGGTGTTTACCGCTGTCAGCAGGAAGATCTACCTGCACAGTCCTGATGTTCCAGGCCACGAAACACCCAAGACCCTGGAGAAAAAAACCACAACATTTTAATTTAATGAATCATGCATGATTAATAAAATGCAGCAATATAATCTTGCTCCAAACTAAACTGAAACATTGGCAGCCCTTTGTTAATCAAAGTTCACCACAGCTCAACCAGGTCCTGAGGCTCATTACATACTCAACTTTAACAACACGTAATGTATAAATACTCCATATAAGCAACACTCAAGAATGTGTGATGGTCTGCAGTTGGGCAGCGAGTTCACATGTCGAGGATATGTAACTTTATACAAACATAAAACTTTGCTCGGATTTAGTTTGCCTTTGAGAGACGATCCTCACACGACCTTTCACTACCGGTAAGAATGGAAAAGTTGTTTCCCCATTTTTAATTCATCCAAATCTTTAGTTTTCTGGTGTTTAATGAAAATGAGATCCTGATGGAGACGCTGGTGCTGCTGCAGGCTTTTAATCTTGTTGAATTTCTTATATAGACTCCACATTTGAAAACAAACGTCAGTGTGATGTTAGATGAAATGATTTGTTGTGTCAGGACTGACCAGTAGAGGCCCTTTGTATCCGTAGACAGCAGTGAGCCACAGCTCCGTGTTGATGCTGCTGCAGTGTTCAGAGTACGGCCGGACAATAACGTCCTGATCTGCAGGGTCACTCTGAAAAAACAACAACAACTAGAAAACTGTTTATTCTTAATGGAAAACTGTTCAGCAGAGCGGCAGAGGAGGAATCCTTCTTCCAGCCAGGTCAAGTGTACAGATTAGATTCACAACAGAAACTCTTAGTTTATACAATTAACAAACATCCAAGAGGATGGAGCCGGTGAATGCAGGGTTTTGATTGTAATAGAGTATTTTTGCATTCTGGTATTAGTACTTTTATTTAAGTATCTGAATCCTTCTTGGCACTTCCTTTTTATTTAACCTTTATTTTAACAGCAAAGTCCCATTGAGACACCAACAAAAACATAAATTCCTAAAGACCATAAAGACCCGGGTTCAATCCCCCACTGTGACCCATCCATCATTGTGTCCCTGAGCAAGACACTTAACCCCTCGTTGCTCCAGAGGCGTGCGACCTCTGATATGTACAGCAATTGTAAGTTGCGTTGGATAAAAGCGTCAGCTAAATGTAAAATACATTACGATGCACGTTAAAAAAACATTTTAAATATTTACACAAGCAAAACACAATGAGTTACAAATATGTAAACAAAAGTAAATGAAGAGACTAAATGTAGACATCTTAACTAGAAATGATCAAAAATTCTTCCTCTGCCTGAAGAGAATTAACTCTCATTCCAACATCCATCAACACAGACGCGTTTGTGAGATCATCCTTACCTGTAAGTCATGCTGCAGCACCACCCGTCTGAGGGGGTCCAGGATTTGCCAGGAGGTTAAAACAAACACATCCAGCAGTAACATCCAGAGCACCACATAGCCTGTTTGCTGTAGACGAGTCTGCTGCTGGAGACACAAACAAACAGAATTTACCTCCTAGAATGTCAAAACTACACTTTTACTGTTGAAGAACCGATTCAAAGAAATGCAGAAAGTCAAATGAGACGTTGGTGGTTGTGATTTACCGTCAGTTTGATGCTGCAGAGTGAATAAATCCTCCATGTTTTGGTGAAGAGCGCAGCGAAGCCCACAGTGTGTCCCACAGAGAGAGTCCACAGACGAACCTGCAAATGAATCCGAGAAGACCGATCGTGTGAAACTGAACGGTTTGCTCCAGACTGTAGACGGTAAAACACTTTTTGTATGCTACACTTTTTTGTTAACACCATATGTACAATTTTTATAGTTTTAGCATCTTTTAAACTTTTTTAAAGTGCTTGTTCCTTGGTCAGTCCTGGTAAAAACAGTGCTGTGCCCCTCCCCTCACAGAGCTGGCCCCAGGACCTTGGAGGTTTATGCTGGACGCTACAGTGTCTTTCTTTAATCCTGCGATTGCTTTGTTGTGTTTTTTACAGCCACAGGAACAAAACAAATGCAGCTTAAATGCGGCTTTAATGGTGGAAGGTTGTTTATTCAGGAAGGAATATTCTGTAAAGTGTTGAATGTATGTACATATTTACTGTGACACTTCTACAAAAAGTCTACTTGGGGCCATTGTCCATGTTTCAGATGTCTCTGAGTTGTTTGCAGTTTCACCAAAGAGACATTTCGCCTCTAAACTTCTCTCATGGTTACATTTAAATAACTGCTTGAGGCAGAAAGAGGAAAAAAAATAGACTTCACAGGAAACAGATTTGTGTATCAGAACGTTGTTTTTCATATTTCCTCTACCATTAATCATCTCACGACCCCTCAGATTTATCTGGTGAGCCTTGGTAGGGGCCCGACCTCTATCTGCTTATACCGTAGATACTAGGTTACTGTATATGAAGTAGTTAAAACTAGCACATAAAGCATGAAAATGTTGATAATTTTGTACATATTTACATGTTGTATGTCATTTGTATGTAGCTGTGTACTATGCTGGACTCTTGTCTTCTATACAGCCTTTATGTGGTATCTTGTTCGTTAATAATTTTTTTAAATGCAGCTTTCCGAACTCACAGAGCAGAGGAGCTCAGATATGCGGTTGGACAGCGGAGCTCCGTCCAGACCGGAGATCAGGACTGAAGAGGAGGAGAGCAGGACGCCCAGCAGCAGCAGCTCGTCCTGGGATCCACCGCTCCATCTCTGCAGCCTGCAGGCAAACAGAGAGGAGACGAAACAACCACGACAAAACCAGGAGTTTCAGCTCAGAGAGACACAGAGGAGCATGTGAAGAAGGAGTACCAGTGTTTACGACAGATGATCCTGAAGCAGAGGACAGTCAGAGTGATGAGGATGGTCACAGCTGCAGCTGATGAGACGATGCCGTACAGAAGGAGGCTGACATGCTGCCGCTGCAGGACGACCACAGTCTGGTCTCTGGCTGGTCTTGGACCTGCAGGACCAAACATTTAGCATCCACCCAGGGTTCATCATCATGACGGATCAATACCCTGCTGTGGGGTCAGGGTCTCACCTTTAAACTGCATCAGGTGATTCATCAGCCGCAGCTGTTGGGTGGCGGTACTGAACTCTCCCACCAACACGCCACTGCTGCCTGAGAACACACACACACACACACACACACCTGCTGATTAATGGGAACATCACGACTGTACAGCAGAGCATCAGGTGATTAACGGCACCTTGAAACTGGATCAGTTCTATAGAAGCCATTCTCTCCCCGTTCCGAAATGAAACTGGACCCTGAAAAAAACACAATGATTTCTGAAAATACAAAACATATTTCTCAAATACAAACAAATAGTATTTACAAAACAGCAAAACCTGAGCAAGGTGTAAATAACATTTACAGTACCAATAGTGCAACTAGTATTAGTACTTGGATTTTGTATCCACTGCTACAGTTGGAGTGTCTGTAACAGCAACATGTCTGTCTCCCCACAGGAACCCCCTCAGAATACACTTCCTTTTGTTTACTGTCAGTACCAGACAGTAAACATGCTACAGCTGTGCGTGTTTCAGGTGTGTAACTGAGCTCACTGTGACTCCTTCAAACTGCGTCTGTTTCACGGCCTCCAGCAGCCTCTTCTGAACGTCGTCCTCGCTGACGCTCACGTTTCTCTGGCTGCTGTATTTCTCCTTGTGTTTCACAGCCTCCATCACCTGACCGAGAGCTCTGGCGGCGACCCAGACGGCGTCGTAGGCGAAGGTGTGGAGCTGGCTGACCTTTGACCCCTCCTGTATCACTTGTCTGAGGTAGGCGTCCTGGTAGTCCTGAGGAGTCTGCAGAGACACATCCGCACGGGATGTTTAGTAAAACACGGCACACAGAAAAAACAACTTATTCGCTTTTTCTGCAGTTTTCAGCTACATCTCATTGTCTTCATCAGCGGATGGAGTTTGTTTGTTTGTACTATAATAAAATGGTCTGGAAGTCGTGCAAGAGGAAGGGTCAGGTGGGGTCACTAGAATTTTTCCTCTGAGAACCTTAAAGATCTCGGGTTGGGTATCTAAAACGTACCAAATTTCCATAAGCAATGGATTTTTTATTTATTTTACCTTTATTTTACCACGTCAGAAATCCATTGAGATTTTTAATCTCTTTTACAAGGATGTCCTGGCCAAGATGTGAAACAGCACACAGTGCAAGGTGCAAACAAGGCATTACATGTACAGCAGCATTATTCACAAGAGTAACAGTATTATTAAATTATTTACAACAAAGTATCAGATAAAAAAACATAAAAGCACAATGAAATTTAAACATATCATAATTTGACTAAATGTTACAGGTGCAAGATGTGTTTAAAACCTCTGACAGTTTTTGTTTAAAACTGGATACAGGAATAAGAGACTCCAACTTCAACTTGAGCTGCAGATCATTCCAAGACCATAGGCCAAAATAGAATAGACTCATTTTTCCTGACTCTATACGCACCATGGGCACCAAACCGCAGCCACCTACTGGCCCTGACACTGTGTGTGTTCTGGAGGGCAATAAATTTACAGTAGATATATGATGGCAATTTTCCTGAAAATGGCTTTGTATATGAAAATATACCAATGCTTCATCCTTCGAATATTGAGTGAAGTAAATCCAGCCAGGGTATATAAAGTACAATGGTGAGTCCTATAGGGTGAACCTGTTATATACCTCAAAGCAGCATGGTAAATGGGATCCAGTTTAGCTAAGGTAGTGGGACAAGCAAATCTATAGATGGCGTCTCTGTAGTCCAGCTGTGATAAAAACAAACTTGTTACAAGCCTTACAGGAAGAAATAGAAAAGCATGTTTTCAATCTACTCAAAAAACCTAGAGCAAATTTGAGCTTTTTTTTATCAAATATGTAGTGTGATGTTTAAAATGAAGGTCTTTATCCAGCCAAATACCAAGATATTTGTATGTGTCTACGACTTCTATGGTATCACCCTCCAGAGTTTTAATAGGAGGAATGGTTACAGCAGAATTATGAGAAAACAACATAACTTTGGTTTTGCTAGTATTCATGACTAATTTTGAATCACGAAGAGCATTTTGTAAGGTGATAAAATCAGTCTGAAGATTTGAGTGTACTGCATCTAGAGAGGGTGCTGACGAATATAGAATTGTATCATCTGCATATATTTGGTACGAGGAGAATTTAATCTGATCACATATTTGATTAAAATAGATTAAAAAGAACAAGGGCCCTAAAATATACCCTTGTGGGACCCCCTTGTTCAGTGTGACCGCATCAGACAAAACAGGGCCAAACCGAACAAACTTAATGCGTTTTGTTAAGTAGCTGTTTATCCAACTAACCATATCTGTACTAAAGCCAAGTTTTTGTATGATATTGATGAGGTGACAGAGATCAACGTTGTCAAACGCCTTGGTCAGGTCAATAAACAATGCTAAACAAGCATGTTTACTTTCAAGTGCTGTTTTAACATCATCTATTACTTTTGAAGTTGTTGTGATTGTACTGTGTCCTGCCCTGAAACCAGATTGAAAATAGTTAAGAATGTTGTTTGTTTAAAGTAACTGTTTGAACTGGACAGACACCAATGACTCAAATGCTTTTGCTAGAACTGAAAGATTTGAAATAGGTCTGTAGTTGTTCATGTCTGTGGGATCACCTGATTTAAGTAAAGGAATCTTATTAAGGCCAGTGTGTTTGGATTCTGCTTATTGGTTCCTGAAGTTCGGCATATTTCAGTGGCAACAACAAAGCATGAAGAAGAGAGTCGTTCTGGTTCTGGTCCTGGACCGTGGCGGACCGCAGCAAACGCTCCAAAGTTTGGCTTTGCTTCACTAACAAACTGCACCAGCTGCAGTCAGGAGGTTTGGTGCGAGGGAGGTAGCAGCTCCAACGTGAAGAATCGTTTCCTTCAACACGGCGTGAATCTGAATGAACGCTTCACCGTGTTCAACGTGTTGCGCTCTCCCAGATCCAGCTAACGCTAACAGTAGCAACGTCTCAGGTACTAAACACAGGTGAGCCGACGTTCACCTTTTACACTGAAGGGAAACCAATGATGTCTACAGATGAGACGAGTCCCAGAGATGCCGCTCTAGGACAGATACTCCTTTCACTTTAGAGACATGAAGGGCAAGAGGAGGAAGAGGAGGAAGAGGATGAAGGTCACTGACAAGATCTGTGGTGCAGGAACCAGAACCAGAGTCCATAATCAGAATTTTAAGCGATAAAACTGAAACGATACCCAACCTGATAAATATCCAAGTATCCAGTAGTTTGAGATATCTCTGTCTTGTCCTTCAGGCTCTGCTGCTACATACATTTTCTGCCAGGGCCAGCCCTGACAATGTTGGAGCCCTAGGCAAGATTTTAAAGAGGTGGTATTCTGCTTATTGGTTTTTCACCTCTCCTTCACTGAGTTATATATCTTTTTTGTGCTGTAACAGGTTTGCAAAGTGAAAAAGCCCAAAGTCCAGCCCAAAGGGAGTTCCCATCTCCCACAGAAAACTCCGCTCTGAACTGAAAACAGCTCGTTTGGAGTCCAGCCGCTTCCCTTTCATCCCTGTGACGTCACAGGGATGAAAGCTAAACGCGCCTCATATAACGCTCGCCAAGCGGCTCCTCAGAAACAGTGAGCTGCAGCACACAGCTCTCCTCTCCCTTCCAAACACTAGCTACCCTCCAGGCAGTCAGTGGACATAAAGTTGTTCCTGTGATGTAGAGACAGAGCTCAGTTAAAATTTTATGGATACAGATTAATAATTCACCGCTCTGAAACTCTCGCTCCAGTCCATGTTGCCGAGCCGGTCGGCAACACGTACGGCTGAACCCGAGCCGTTTACCGGCTTCTCGCTGACCCGCCCTTCTCTGCTTCTGATTGGCTAGTAGTCCTTAACTAGGAACTGAGCATGTGCAACTCCCAACAAAGATCATTTAGAGACAAGATGTATCACTCCATAGCTAAAACGAAGCCTTCAACACAGGCTGAAAAGAGGAGCTGCAGCAATGTGCAGTATGACAAAAATATAACCATGTAAACTTGTTCTGGTACAACCTCTAAATAAGATGAGGAACCTGAGAATGAGCAGAATACCACCTCTTTAAATTGGCCCAACCCTAAAGAGTCCCAACCAGGGGTTGGGGTCATCACTCTAGTATCCATAGCAATTGTTTTAAACGTTCAGCAGCTAAACTCACAATTTTAGCATGTATAGAGCCAAGTCGAAAACCTTCTTTTGCGGTACCCCCTGATATTATGAACCCTAGGCAACTTCCTATGTCACCTATGCCACAGACCGGCCCTGTTTTCTGGTGATCATATGTAACTAAATACAACACAGACTGGTCTGTCATTGGGAATGTGGTGGTGGTTTCTTACCCGTCCAGAGACTCCTGGTGTGTTTGTGTGGCTGAGCTGTCTGATCTGAATCCTGATGGATCCGTCTGCAGCCGTCAGCACGCTGTTGGCGGCGCAGCCAGAGACCTGCGAGCCCGGCCTCCATCCGGCTGTTCCTCCACCAGCAACCACCCACTGGTACCGAGCTCCGAACATGTTCAGTGTGTAGGCCTGAAAGTCACAGAGAGAGACACGTCACGGCTGCTGACTGTTATCATCTGTTTTAAATGAATCCTCGTGACAAACAAATCTTATTTCTTCCTTCAAACTCCCGGATTTCTGAAATACTTGAGTCCTGCTGAAAATGGCAGCTTCAGTTTGACTTCCTGTTACCATACAGTCCATCGGGGTCCAACAGTCCAACATCAGCTAAAGAACAGTCATGATACATGTTAATATCAGAATGATGTCTTCTAGTTTTTATCATCCTGACCAGCTGCACTGTTCAATGCCAACTTATCACATCTGTTTTTGGGCTGGTGTTGTGTTGTAGCTAGGTGATCATCGAAGGCAGGTGGGAATGACAAACATTACTCAAAGAGAACAGAACTTAATTTTTAGTTCCAGTAGGAGTTCAAGAGTTTTTAAAGATACCAAATACTAAATTTGGATGCATAGTGCAAAAAATGCTGCACAAGAAATCTAGTCACAACTTTTGATGAACTCTTTTAGTGAGTTTGAATTAACTTATTGTAAAATCTCTTTTGATAAATTCCAAATTAATGTAATAAGTTGCATATGGATGGAATTATATTGTTTTACAACTATTAAGACATGGATTAACAGTTTTCATCATATGTAAGGTTGCAAAAAGTGCTTCTTGAGTTCCCTCTATGTGTCTGTACCGTGTAACTGTTGCTCTAACAGCCATCACCCGTCTGGTTTCACGCTTTCCTCCAAATGTTGAAGCAGCTGCAGGGATTTGCTCCCTTTCAGACACCAGAGCATCTGTGAGGTCCAACACTGATGTTGGTGATCAGGTCTCGCTCGCAGCTGGAGGACATATTAAGGAAATTTTTGGGGTGGGGACAGTTGTAGAGAGTAAGTACATGTAAAATAAAGAAATGCTTTGGGGGGGTACGGGAGATTTTTTTTGTGTGAGTGAAGTTATTTTTGACTTTTTTGGAAAATTTGGGAGGTGGGGACATTTTGTGATATAACGACATTTGCAATTTTGTGAAGTGAATACATTTTAGGAAAGCACAGAGTACGTTTTTTTTTAAAGCAGACCAATTGTTTGAAAAGTGAGGACATTTTTCAAAAGTGGGGACAGTTGTAAAGCCCAGGGACGCATTTTTAGAAAAATAAACAAGTGTGATATTTTGAGTGATGAGGGAGATTTTGAAAAATATTGACATTTTTGGACCTTTTAGAAAAGTTAGAACAAGATTGGGAGGCGAGGACATTTTGTGACCTTAGGACATTTTCAAAAGCAGGGCAGTTTTTTGAAGGGTGAGAACATTTTTCAAAAGTGGGGACAGTTGTAGAGCCCAGGGACACTTTTGGAAAATGAAGAAATGTTTGGACATTTTGGGGGGTGAGGGATTTTGTGACATTAGGACACTTTAAAAAGCAGGACAATATTTATGAAAGTGAGGAAATTTTTTTTTGGATCGCTTAGGAAAGAGAGAACAATTGAGATTATTTGTGGACATTTTTAATAATGTGAGGAACATGAGGACATTGGGTGTTGAGGTGAGGGCCGGTAAAGTTCATTCATGTGAAACTGGGAACACTGTCACGTTGAAACAGGAAAGGGACAAACACTAACAAAAAACTGTTACAGACAGACATTTGGCCATCAAGAGCGCTTACACAGCAGAAAACCTCAGAGGCAGAATCGTCTTCAAACTGCCCGATGATGATCCGAACATCGCTTTCCTGCCAAACAAAGAAGCAACAGGTTTTATTCCTGTGAGAAGTGCTAGAATGTAAACAGATTAGTATTTTACTGTCTATTATATGTAGCATATGTACTCGGTACCTTCAGCTTCCTCAAGCTGCTGCAGGCGTCTTCAGAGAGACTTTGTGTGGAAACAACCTGAACATCGGCCTTCAGCAGCTGTCTGATCAGATCCTGCTTCATCTGCACAAAGAAAGTACATCTAATGTGATGCCACACAAAGACAATAGGAACTTGTTTCTTAGAACCTTACAGAGCTAAACAACATAGAGAAGAGGTCACTAGAACACAGTTTGGATTGATGGTGGAGCTACAGGAAGTCACTAACGTCATTTTTTGCATCATAAATGATGTTTCAGCTTCACCTCTGAGAGTCTGGCTCCTTCCTCGGTGATGACCCCGACTCTGGTCCACTTGTAGCGCTGCAGCAGCTTCACTGTGGCCTGGTTCAGAGCTCGGTCTGATGGCACCGTGCTGAACAGGTTCCTGTACCACTTCCTGTTGGACAGGCTGGGGGACGAGGCCGCAAAAGATACCTGGGACATCAGAGGACATGAAACACCGTAAACGTACCTGTCATAACACACGATACAATAAGAAGTCTGAAGTGGACTGACGAGCTGTGCACCTGCACCAGGTTGAAGGCTGGCAGAGAGCGAGCGACGAGCGCCGTCACAGGTGGACACACCCCTCCAAACACCAGCAGGTACTCAGGCCCCGCCCACATGGCGTCAAACAGAGCTTTGAGTGATTTAGCAGGATCACACTGTGAAACATAAGATGCAAATATTAATACAAGAGCAGCTTTGTCAACTGCAACTTGTTCTAATTACAGAGAAAACTGCTTTAACTACTTCGAGATCAGAAACCATAGGTGTCATTTACACTGGGGACGCTGGGGACATGTCCCCACCACTTTTTGAAAGCATTTGCCAAAAGTTTTCTGGATGTTAGCTCGCGAGAAGAAATGTTAAATAACAAATAAAAATTCTATGAGAAAGGTTTACTTGCAGGAAAACATGCAATGCAATGTAAATATAGAAGTAACAGATCTGCCTTGTCCAAAAAAGCAACTTAGGCTAAAAAACACAAGCTGCTGATTACTGCATTATATTCTATAATATTTTTATAATCAGAATTGTCACCAACCACATGAATTTTGTTTCCCTTCATGTGAATAAAGACGTTTCCACCATTAATTAGTGTCTCCAGAATGCAGGAAATTAAGAGTTTAATGCTCAAAATCTTCTGGGGGAGGAGCCACAGACCCCCCCAATAAAATTGCCTATTTCATCTATGAATTTTTCTTCTAAATAGTATAGGAGTATCTTGTTGTCTTGTTCTCGTGACTCCAATATTAGTGAGGTCCTTGTCAGAAACATCAACATTGTCCAAGGAAATTGTTAATAACTAGTTGTGTTGGTATCTAACTTTAAATACCTAGGGTTTTTATTTGATGACCGCTTGTCTTTCCAGGCACATATCCAGTCTGTTGCAAAAAAGTTGAAGCTCTTATTAAGATTTTACTACAAAAACAAGTCCTGCTTTTCTTTTACCTGTCATTGATTATAGTGATGTGTTGTACATCAATGCCTCTGCTCACCGTCTTCACATGCTGGATGGTGTGTTTCATGGGGCTCTGTGGACCTCTTACTCAATAAATCGGCCTGCTTTATATACACGCCGCCTCAGCCATTGGTATGTTTTTATTTACAAATCCATTCTTGGCACAATTCTGACTCATTTATCTCTTTTAAACTTGAAATATGGAAAATACAATCTCTGTTCTCAGGATATGCATTTTTGCTGAAGTCCTAACAGAACTGGAAAAGAAAGCATTTAGGTTTTCTGGACTTGTTATGTGGAACAAGCTACAAACTAATCTGAAACTTGAAAACACAGTAATGCTGACTGATTTTGAAACTATGGTGAAATCTATTGAGTCCAGCTCGTTTGTGTGCAATTGTTTTTTCTGGCCCAGTTCTTCTGTGATTTTATGTTAATTTATTGTTGAAGCTTTGTGTGGCTACTATTATTGGCCAGGTCTCCCTTTAGATCTATGATCTCAGTGGGACAAACCTAGTTAGAAAAAAACTACACAACTGAAACACTAATGTGATACCTGGTACCAGATGCACAGAGCAGGAAGGGCACAGTGGTGCTTTCATGAGAGTCGAACGTCAACCAGGTGACACAAAATTCTCAATGTACAAAAAGTTTCAGAGTGATAAGATGGTGAATCGCTACAAAGTCAATATCATAGATATTAAAAAGTTGACCTCACTTTTGTTTGCTTTTAAATTCTTACCTGTTAAAGCTGTCTGATTTCTGTGAAACACTCCTTAAATTAGTGGTTCCCCATCTTTGTGGCCTACAACCCCTAAAATGTATCGGGGTCTAGTGGTGACCCCTCCTCACTGATTGCAAACAGCTAGCGGTCTATCTTACTCCTGAGTTTATAGTATGTGGTCCAGCTAACAAAAGCCCGTCAGGATCTCATACAGCTCTCTGTACAGCAGTCTGAGACTAACCTGTGAGTCCAGCAGCTGGAGCTGGACCTCATAGTTTCCCAGCGGAGGTGGTTGTCTCTTCAGGTCCTGCAGAGCCAGTCGGACAGCCGGGGCTACAGCAGCGGTCAGGTTCTCCCTCCCCGACCCAGAGCTGATGGGCATCATCCACAGCACAGGCAGAGGGTGGCGGACCTGAGCCAGCACCGGCCCGACTACCAGCCAGCAGACCAGCAGCACCCAGAACACCTCAGCCGCTCCACGCTGCTCCATTCTCTGCTTCAACTGCAGACACTTTTCCTCTCTGCTCCGATCCTCCTGCAGCAAAACTCTAATCCTCTTGTGCCGTAAGCAGCTGAGAATCTGGGGAGATAAAAGGATCAGCACTGACACCAGGTGTCACCAGGATTCTGCTCGCTGCTTCACAGGTGCATGTAGCAGAATAATGTCACGTTTTCATCACAGAAGAATCTACTGCCCGCAACATGTTGAAACCATCTGCTTGTTGGACTCAAGCAGAGGAAAGAAAATGAAAAGATATAAACCAAAAGACTGCAGCAACACTGGCTGCTCTGTAGGACGTAATCTTCATCACACTCCAGAAAACTAAACAGTCGAAAGAGAATATCTAAGAATCTGATCCAAACGGGAACATCTTGATAATTTACTGTAATGTGTCTTTTTCCTTCACTTGCCTGGTCACATTAATAATTCTGCTTACTTATTCTCTGGTCACATGGCTCCTGATTTAATTCAAAATTACCCCATTTTATTTAGAAGTTCCTTTAACATCTAAATTTTTGAATTTAAATTCTTCGAAGACAAATTTCTCAAGGAAAATAAGTCTCAAAGCAATAAAAAACAATAACAAACGTATGTAATCCCGTCCTGCAACAATCAGTCATTGGATGTCACGGGATCGCCCATCTGTTAGGATTTTGGCTTTTAGACATAGGTGGCATTTACACTGGGGACGCCGGGGACACGTCCCCACCACTTTTTTAAAGCATAATTTGTAATAATATGTTGAAATATACAGTTTAAAAACAAATGAAAATGCCTTTAGAAAGGTTTATTTGCACATTAAGAAAACATGCAGTGCAACTAAAATCTAAAAGAAACAAATGCGCATTGTCCATAAAAAGTAACTTCACCAAAAACACAAGCTGCTGATTATAAAATGACCCCAAACTGTGCAGCAGCAGTCAGTAACTTTAACAACTTCCTGACACAGTTTCTTTTCCATTCTCTCCCTGTGAACGTGACAAAAGAGGAGGGAAGATTAAATCCTCCCTCAGCAAGATGATGTTACAGGAGAAACAGATCTGAGAGCTGCTCTCACTTAGATTCTGTTATATTTATATACTTTGAAATGTCACCTGAATTTTTTTTCCTTTTACATAAATAAAGAATTTCCACCCTTAATTGGTGCAGAAACTTTCACCAGAAGGCAGGAGATGAAGGGAGAGGAAGACTTACCTTTAAAACACTGGATGTTTTAGTCTCGTTCTTGTGAACCTGATGCTAATGTTAAATTATAATCATTAGAGGTCAGATTCCTGACATTACTGAACAGAACAGACATTCCAACAAACACTTGTACTACAGTCAAATATCACTGACAGGCAGCTACAGTGCAATTTATTTTCTGATTCATCCATTCTGTGCTCGACCTACACAAGCCTTAAAACAAACAAATTTCCCCTGAGAGGAACCAAAGACATTCATTATATTCACCAAATAAACAATGACAGGGTCCGCTTGTTCGTTTCACAGGTATCCAAACAAGTGGAGCCAGTGGTGGACAGTTTTTTCCTTTTTCTGCTACTTCACTTTTTACTACATTCACCTGACATCTTTAGTTCCTTTGCATAATAAAATTTTACTTTCAAAACATTGAAACGCTTTCACTTTGCTTTTTCTTTTTTCGAGCTACAGAAATTCCTTTCAAGTTTTAAAAATTCACTTGTTCTAAGAAAATTAAACATATATAATGTAAAATATTGATCTTTCACTTGTAATGGAGTATTTTTATAGTAAGGTATTACTACTTTTACTTCAGTAGGGCTCTGAAGACATCCTCCACCACTGACTGGAGGTGTTAACGTGCCAACTTAAACCTTTGAATATTCAGCTCAGACCACAGTTCAGCCTAGATACAGCGGAAAACTGATGAAAGTTGCCTGATTGTGTCCATTGTAGACTTGTTGGTAGCAGATATGATTCATCGTCTGGGGTCTGTTAAAATATCCTGATGTATCCATCTGACATGTGTTATGATATTTCAGACAGGACAGACAGTTGATTTTACAGACTGATGAACTTGCAGGTGAGTTCAGGGAATTTGCGTGTGATTATACTTAATTTTTCCTTTGGGACTGAACAGAGGGAACCTGGACACAACTTCAGCGTGAATCAAATAAAATGCTCTTTAATTAACTTGAAAAACACAACAGATATCAGGCGCACGCACACACACTAAAAACCTGTTTAAACTCAAGATCCACATTTCAGAAGAAGTCAAATGTCTTCGTAGACTCAAAATATGTTCCGGCAAGTTTCATCCAAACCAAAAAAACACAGTTAAAATGAAAAACAGGGTTGGTGAACAGCCGTCATGAATTTCTTTTTAAACAACATTACTTTTGGTTGGTCATGTTTAAGCCAATTACCTACAAATCAAATCAATCAAATCATGTCCAAATCATATCATCAGTTTGAGCAGACAGCTAAAACCCTGCATTTATATATTGCTATAATCCAAAGAGCTTTACATTTTGCCATCAGATACACACCGATGGCAGTAATATGCAAGGTGCTGGTCTGACCTTTGGAGCAATTTGCGGTTCACTCTGACAGGTGGACAGGAAGTCAATTTCTAAATATCTCACAAAAGCACTAACAGGGATGTTTCATAACATTTCCTGCTCATAAGTGCATCAACTAATTTCCATAAAGTTATTATTGACAATAAAAAGAAATGTTGACAACGCATCAACTTTGAAAGGTTTATATTTACAGAGACGATCTGAAACTGCAGTAAAGGTGCACTGATGGAAGAAAATCAATCTGAGCCCTGATGGATGATTTGGAAAATTATGAGCATGATTGTAAAGATATTTTAAGCTGTAGTTATTGTGCTAGAAAACAGCTTTGAGTGTCCACTGAGTGTCCGCTTCATGCTCCTTCACTGTGTTTGTCTTCCTCACGTCCATGCAGTTTGTAAAAGCTAGATCAACTCTGTCCTTTAGCAGGCTCTCTGGATCGTCCAGTCTGACGGCCGGGACCCCTCCCTCTGCCCCCACCGCCGCCGCCTCCTCCTCCTCCCTTCTTCCTCTTGTGTCCTGGTCTCTGTGCGGTGGATCCTCCACCCTCCTCCCTGTTAGCCCACAGGGTGTCGTAGCGGCCCGGCGCTTGGTATCCGGGCTGACTGCAGTCCAGTGGCTCCGTGGAGAGGAGGATCCAGATGGCGGGCACGTTCCTGTTGACCGTCAGGCTGTCGAGGCCGGCGGCGGGCTCCAGCGGCTCCCACACCTCCACCACGGTGCTGAACATCACCTTGGTGAGCTGGTGGAGCCCCTTCACACGCCGCTTCACAATCTCAGCGCACGTGATGGCTTTAGAAACGCCCTTACCCGTCGCTGTGAAGACGATCTGTTTGCAGAGCGGCCGGCCTGGCGCTTCCACTTGTCCTTCCACAGCCACGCCTCCTTCCTCAAGTGCGGTGCGTCCCTGGTCCTCAGCTGCTCTGGGTTTGGCCTCCACGCGGCTCAGGGCGTAACGCAACAGGTTGCGGATCTTGCTGCCATCTTTGACTCTGACCTCTGGGGTGTCAGGTTGAAGGCCGGGGAACGGACAGACAGATGGCTGCTCCACCGTCCGAGCCTTACAGTAGTTCTCCATCTGCAGAGAGAAAACAGACAGATGCTACAGATGTGGAGTGCAGAGAGAGGAAAGACAAATACTGTATGTACTAAACAATATGTAAATAATCATGATGTTCAGACTATGTTGTGTGTTCCGCTGATATGCATTACATGAGAACAACCTTTTACATGTGTACATGTCGACACCCTCTGATGCAACGACTATTGTTACTAGTCTTATTGTTATTATAATCATTAACATTACGATTGTTACCATTAACACTACTATAAATATCTGTACCATTTTTCATTTAGTCTATAGCAACATCACCTTCACTGTCTGTACCTCTGTGTGTATATTGTGTAGGCTGCCTCCCTCCCTCTCTCTCCTTACATCCGTCTCTTTCTTTCTCTCTCTCTCTCTCCTTCACCCCAACCGGTCGAGGCAGATGGCCGCCCACCCTGAGCCATGGTTCTGCTCGAGGTTTCTGCCTCTTAAAAGGAAGTTTTTCCTTGCCTCTGTCGCCTAGTGCTGCTCTTGGTGGGAACTGTTGGGCTTCTGTAAATATCATCATAGAGTACGGTCTAGACCTGCTCTTTATGAAAAGCGCTGTGAGATAACTGTTGTTGTGATTTGGCGCTATATAAATAAAATTGAATTGAATTGAATTAAAACAAAAACTAGTGAATTAGTAGGATGATTTTTTTAATATATGTCTCTGACACAAGGTGTCACCAAGACACGAAAAACTCAAGAGAGCAGGTGGCTGCAGACCTCTTATGGTGGAGGTCTACCTGCAGATCCTGATTGATAACAGGACCTGTTCATATTAACATCCATTTAACTTCACTGGAAGAGCTCCGTAATAACGTTATGGGTGCTATGCTGCAAAATCTGGGAAAGACATCTACAGAAAAAATAAATATCAAATTCAATTCAAAGATTACAAAATCTCTGTTTCTGGAGACACTTTTCCTTTGAAAATCGGTAGTGGTTGAACACAACAAATTGGTGATGTTTTCCAAAAGAAATCGGGGTTTATATAATTTACTTCCACGGTGAAGTAACATTTAAATGTTTGCACTGAAAGTCGCGTTTCTTACTTCTAACGTTACCATGACACGTTTGGAGTCAACAAGTTGGTCAACTAAACAATTAAACTAAAGCCGACGGTTCTTGGAGTACTGGATGTATGCCGAATTAAGGAACTCATCGTATTTATTTAGAAAACGTGTTTAGTCAAGACCTACCGTGAGTGTGGCTTCACCGATGACAACGAAAACGTTAAATCTACAGTGTTTCTAACGGAGATCGCGATGACGTTTCTTTATTTCTATTTTACAAGCGTTTTGAGGCTCAGCAATGGTTAGACCGACAAATAAAGGTGAGAACTTTCAGCTGCAGAGTCAATAAACTTACATAGATGTCATGTAGTTCAGCTAATGTTAAATAAACTGACTGCGTTATCAGCAATGTATTAGCAAGCGCGGCTAAGCTATAGGCTAAAATCCTTATTTATGTTCACAGAAATATATGAATGCTAAAAACGCCAGAATCATGATACATGTGTGATTATTTTGTTAGAGAATCGACTTAAGTAATGTTAAGTTATGTTTATAATCTTACCTGGTGGGATTTTTTGGGCTACTTAACTCTCCACATGTTTACTTCTCCTGCAACGCTTTACGTTACCGTATAACGGTGGAAACTGTCGCAAACTGACAATTTCTTTTGTAGTTCTTTGACAGTTGACGTTGAAGGCCGTTAACATCTTAACAGCAGCTTTTAACTGAACTTAATTCATAACACCACTAGTGGTTAAAGACCAAATGGAAGGCATGAAGATGTACAACTACAGTAATAGAAGTTTTGATGATTTATTTTACGTGTGAAAGCTTAAAGCACGCGGAAATTGTGGTTTGTAGTTCTTTTCAACTGCTACAAGTGTTTCCCGCCATTCAGCCACAGGAGGCAACAACGAGTCAGCCAGTTACCGTTGAAAGAAAATGGCGGAGAAGACGCCGCGCTCGAAAGCCAAATCTGACAAGCCGCAGAAAGGTGAGATTTATGCGTTTTATCAAACTATATGAGATGAAAATACTTATAACATGATGACAAGCTGCTAAAACTTTACAATGGAGCTGCTAAAATGGACTTTCTGGACCATATTTCAAATTCACACTGGTACGGTAACGTTAACGTTACCTGCTAGCAACACGCCAGTACAGCTTCACGGTGTTCGGTTAGGGATATCTATTCCTGCATCTTTATATTTCCCAACAACAGGCTACGTTTATTTCTAAATGTGTCATCTTTCTAACTTTGTGGGTCTTCAAAGAAAAGCGTTTGGCCTAGCCTTATTTAGAAAGTCCACGCTGAAATTAGCTTCAGATTTGGCAGTTAACAAAACCTAACGTTTAACGTTAGGGAAAGTTAACCTAACGTTAAGTTACAAGAACATTCCTCCGTTTCTTTGCATCTGTTTAATCTTACTGTTGTCATTTTGGGCAAAGCCCTAATGCTGTCTGAAACACTTTATAAGATTTGTAAAACCTTTTTTGTGTGAAAATGGAAAAACGGCAATTTCACTGCTTTTTCTGCTTGTAACGTTAACTCACGTTGGTTAGAACCTGAAACTGACAAACTGACAGTTTCTTTTGTAGTTCTTTGACAGTTGACGTTGAAGGCCGTTAACATCTTAACAGCAGCTTTTAACTGAACTTAATTCATAACAACACGAGTGGTTAACGACCAAATGGAAGGCATGAAGATGTACAACTACAGTAATAGAAGTTTTGATGATTTATTTGACGTGTGAAAGCTTAAAGCACGCGGAAATTGTGGTTTTTCGTTCTTTTCAACTGCTACAAGTGTTTCCCGCCCTTTAGCCAAAGGAGGCAACAACGAGTCAGTCAGTTACCGTTGAAAGAAAATGGCGGAGAAGACGCCGCTTGGTGAGGTCGGCTGCGGTCTTAAGTTGCGTTTGTGTCACGAGGTATGAGAGCCGAAGAAGAGTGTAATTTTGACGGAGGTGAACTTTATCGGTCTCTGCTGGCGACCCGTACGGAGCGAGCTACACAGACATGCAAGAAATGCCTGAAATCGTCTCTTTGAGACGAACAAAATGAGCCCACCACAGCCCTGCAGGATGTTCTGTTCTCAAGCTGTGGGCCTGTAAAGCATGGGAGTGCTTTTGGTCATTTATATTGACTGTTTTTATATAATATTTCAATGTTTTGGAAGCTTTGTTATTTGGAACGTGGTTGTGTGGAGAGAAATAATGTTTTGAAGATAACTACCAATAAAAGTGAACATATAAACAGTAAATATGGCCAAAACATGGACATTCGACTGCTATATTTTTGAAAGATTATGTAATAACTGTTGTATATCAATTTCTTTTCATCAAATTTACAGTTACAGTTGTATTCAAGGTGTATTAGAAGATATTCAGGTGCATTATAATCTACTTTAGGATGGTTTTGATGGTTTATTACATCAAATAAAGCTTTTTTTACCAGGCAAGAATGAAAATATAATTTTTTCCTGTATTTCATATCCATGTAGTCTGTAATGGTAAAATAAATATGTTAATCTACAATGGATTCATATTCCTCAGCTTCTGACCTTTCAAAGGAGACCAGAATGATGCATCTAGGCCTGATGGTTGAGGAGATATTACTGATTTATTTTGGATATGTTATTTTAGGCGTTTTTCCTAGAAATAGGTGCCAGGTAGGAGGTGGTTAATAAAATGCTTCGACACAAATTCTTTGCATCGATGCTCCGTTTCCATCCGTGTAATTTTACAGCACAGTGTTTTGCACGGACATTTATTACTGTTGCACATTGCGCTTAGGCTGTGAACACAACGTATAATGCCGTTGTTTGCAAAGTGGAGGAAGAGAGAGAAAATGGCGAGGGACAAAGAAGAAAGTGTCCAAAGTATTGGATTATTTTCAGCTAAAGAAAACAACAACTCTGTAATGTGACCGTCCCTAAAACCAAAGTTATGTCGCCTCGGCAACAGCAAGACAGCACCTGATCAGAAAGCAGCCCGTGTTCTGCTAGCGGACCACACACAAGGTAACAGTAACTTTAGCATTTAGCTGAAATCATGATTGATTGTTGAGTTAAAGGCTAGCCAAAGTAAGCCGCAGTCCTCCGCTGAAAATGTACACATGAGCATGTAGTAAAACTTGTATAGCACTCGAGAGATGTTTGTTTGCAAAGCAGCTTTCTGGTTGTTGGTCTGATGTTTGCTGTATGACACACTATGAATTTCCTTACCTTAACTTTTTAGCACCTCCTTTGCATTGTGTTGTGGCCTATGAGAGATTTGTCTGCGTTTCAACCGTTTAAATATGTCTGATGCGCACTGTGATTGACTAGCCACTCATAGTAAACCTTCTGCCTAGCCAACTCCGAAATCACTGGAGAAAACATTTTTGAAATATGAGGGGGATATGTATAATGGCTCCTGCGCGTAAATAAGCGGTGATGTTACAATTTAATCTTTACCGTTCGTTTACCACTCGCTGTCACTGTTGGACTAGCTGTAGATTAAGGTTTCATAGTTATTACCTAATCATAATTATTTGTCCTTGCACTGTTTCCCACAGATTGACAGTGTAACTGTGGTGGGGGCAGTCGACTGTCACAGGTGTTACGCCGAATTTTGCATGCCTACCGAGAATTGTATGAAAATGCATTAAAGTTCTGCTTTTAAACGCTATACTATTCTTTGTGGGGTTCATAAATAGTTATTAGTGATCAGTATATGTTTTATAAACGTTTAGAATCGTTAATATGTTATTATACTTAGGAAAAGTACTATTTCTTGAGACTCAGCAAAAACATCTGGCGTAAACCGCGTTCAAAAATGCGACCAGCAGTGTCCTAAAAGAACCTTAATAAGTGAATGCATAATTCGGCAAAACAGATGTTGTGGGCTACCTGCCAAAATTTGCATCCACCTCTTTTCTCAGCATAAAAGAGCGTTACCGCCCGCGCAATTCACGGCAGGCATGCAGAGTTTGGCACAACACCTGTGCTGAAAAACATCACTAGACCTCGTGGGAGCAAGTCCTGATCATTGTTCTAAGCTCACACAGTCTACCGGAGGTAGATTCTGTCTGACTTGACAGCACTGTTCTTATTCCCCTATCTATCAAGTCAGCAAAAGTCAGCCAGTTATCTCGGACGCACCTGTTGGTAGGTGACAAGTAGACTTGCATTAATTGGCTGATCCGTTAAAATATGCCCGATACTTAAGATCGACTTTATAACATCTGGATGTCATATCATTTAAGCCAGAACGCATCAGGACTTCCTCTGTTGTCTTTCTGTTAATGTTTGTTATCAGTGTTTGTTTTTCATCCCTTTGCACCCTTTCAAGCTGTGGCACAACCTCAAATTCAGTCTTTGTGTTTTATTTCAGAGAGGACAAAGCAGGAAGCTGCCACTGACGGAAACCTGAGGGTGGTCCGATGCTCCTGGTCCGACCTTTTTCACACCGCAGTTGGAGCCCGACTGGCACCGCTCTGGCCTATTGGCAAATCAAGCATGTACCAGGTAAAATGCCTCACAGTGTGTAGCTTGTAACATGGTGCTAGTTTACCTCAGAGTCATTAAAATGAAGCAGCAGCAGCTGTAACATTCTGCTTTAAAGGACTTTATAAACAGTGTGACGACTTGGCGTTCCTAACCCTGATAAAGCTTCACACGGTTCTGGATTTGTGAGGCAAAAATACCAAAATAGATATTTGAGCGGCTAAAACTTATACTGTACCAGTCCGTCCTCCACTTTGGTCCAAACTGAAACATCTCAGAACTGCTGGACGGATTGTCATGATCTTTTGGACAGACACTGATGTTCTGGAACATCATTACGACTAACTTGTGTTATCATTAAGGGCCATAACGTATAGTTGTATCAACATATGTTTTTAGTGACGGACTGTCAAATCAAATAATATTTCAACAATATTTACTGTCGGTTTTCACATCAAACTGGAGGGATATTAATTAATAACTACTCTAATAATACATTCTTAATTTAAGTAAACTAAAGGCTCCATTTAAAAAAAAAAAAAAAAAAAAAAAAAAAAAAATACATAAGGCAGTTTTTGTTAAATGTGTATCTTAAAATAAAGTGCTTAATTTCATAAAAATTTGAAATAAAAAGTGTAGCTTGAATTGATTTAAGTGTAGTCTCAACCAATTTTATAATAAACACTCAACACATTTTAACAATTGAACAGTTTTAATGCCTCCTTCTTTCATTTGCCAGGGCTTAAAGTTCTCAGGCGCTATGCCGGAATTCTGGTGTCGGGCGTTTTTGTATTCGTCAATATATATATTAATGTCTGTGGAAAATGTTCGTTGACGTTTGTGTGTGAAGCGCCAGTCTTCCTCTGCACAATTAGTGGCTTGGTGTCAGTGTATACACGAAAGAAAGGGGACTGGCACTTCCTGGCTATGTGCACATTCATTGGCTTTTGTTGGCTGTGAACAGGGCATAAAAGTTTCTATCTGGTCAGTTAAAGGTGTCACTCAAGGTTTTTGTTTACATGCTAACTGTCGTTAGGCTAATATGAAACTCGTAAAAGTAGTCCGTGTGTATTTATTGATATAATAATGCGTTTTGGACTAAATATTTTACTGTATTGGATCGTATGGACCTTTGCCAGCTTAACAAGGCCATTTTTGTCGGAATGTAATCCACC